TTTGGATACTTCTATACATTTGTTTTGTACATTGAGCATATTTTTAACAAGGGTATTTTTTGTCATTAAGATGGGTATGACGTCATCCACATGAGGTACACTAGTCGTATTTAATGGTCTATGTGGGTGATGTCACACCCCCATGTAGATGGCATCACACCCGTTCTAAAGACAAAAAATATTGTTATTAAAAAATGCATAATGTACAAAACAAGGTATAGAAGTGTCCGAAATTTGTTGAATACAATGATATATTGATACACTAATAACCTTACACATTTATAATTTATAATTCAAAAACTTTTATAGTAAATTATACATTCATTGTGGTACTATGTTGTACTACCTACTCAAATTGTGTTGAATTTATTTTAGAAAATACCATGCTTTTAATCTTATAATTCAATAAAAAAAATTTCTTCCTTAATAGTAATTCATAGCATTTTTTTTCAAATTATTTTTAATCTTGATATTATACTTATAAAGTAAAAAATAGGTAATTAAGGTTTAAAAACTTAACTAACAATTTGATCACCAAAGTGTTCAAGTAAATAAAATGAAAATGTGAGTAATTTTATATATACTTTCTATGAAAGAAGGATATTCTTATATATGATTTAATATTTATGACTTAGATCTAATTTTATATGGTATTGCTTAATAATATTTTTTATTTTATATTAAAATTATAATATTTATTTTATATTTATAATTAGAAAGTGTAATTTATAGTTATAATTAATGTTTTATTTATAGTGACAATTTTAGTCTCATTTATTAATTTTAATAATTTGATGTTTAGACATTATTTTTATAAGAAATTTATAGTTTTTAAAATAAATATTTGAAAATAAAATAAAAAACTATAAATAATAACTTTTTATATAAAATTTATAGCTTTCGAATGAAATGGTGGAAAACAACGTGAATGTAAAATTTATAGCATGAGTACATAATTTTTTTAAATCAAATGTGTTATGTTATTTTAGATTTATGAAATATTTTATCAAAGTGAGAGTATAATTCTCAAGGAAAATATAAAATGAGACCATTACCTTTGGTACTAAGTGAGGCGTTAATCTTGACCATTGGATGTGAATTGGGTGGCTGCAATTATTCCATTAACCAAGCTCAAACTTCGAAACAAATTTTTTCGAGCTTTGTGTCATATCCAAGTTATCAACCTCACATCGGATGGATGTAAGTAATTGTGACCACCTTGTATCAAAGGTAAATGGTCTCATTATTTACAATCCTTAATTATTAATGCCAAATTATAAATTTTAATTTATTTTGGCTATTAAGTAAAATTTTGAATTTCAAAAGTAAAATCCATGTAACGACGAGTCCTAATTTTATTGCATAAAATTTGCAATTGCATGTTGTATTCATAATTTTAATTATTATATAAATTTTGATAATTAATGAATTTGATAATAACAATAGAATGCCAAATTAAAGAAAATAATATATACTGATATATTATTAAAGATAGGGAAGATTGAAAACTATAGTTCATTTATTTCTGTACACGACTCTCCCAAGATAGATGGTGTAAAAGTTTGTTGCTTAAAGTGCACCATGAGAACACACTGTATATTTGATCCATAAAAAAAAACACTTAGTACTAGTATTTTATGTCTACTAAATATAGGGACCTACCTTTAAAATTGTATTTTAACAAGATAAAATTTAAATTTTAAGTTGTTAATAAAAATTTGTGGTGAGGGATCATACGCCAATACATAAGATCAACTTTTATATCGTGTTGTTAGCATTATTGTGATTTGACTTCTTCAGGTATGGCCTCTGTGTGTTATATGCAATAATGAACTTGCGTTGTACGCACGAATTTTAAGCACACAAATCGTGTGAAAACCTAACTTAATGCCCTTTATTCTTCATCCGAGCCAAATCCCGACCCTACGATGTGCCTACCAATCACGAACGTGCTCATGCTTTATATACAAAAGATTCTATTGAGACCATTATAGATTGGGTGCGGTTTTTATAAAGTTGCAACCTAAAACTATTCAATTAAAGCACACTTTCAAATTTTATCACAATATGATATAAAAAATTTATAGGATTATTTGAAAATCTATCTTCGTATCTAATTATAAAAATTGAAACACCAAAAAAAGACTAAAATCAAGTAGATTTATAAATATATGAAAATCTTGAAATGGACGATTTAGATATCGTGTTGTAATATACACTGGACTAAAAACCTTTTCTCTTTTAATATTCATATATCTCCATCAATTAAAAACATTAAAACATTTTGAGGTGCATATGTAATTATACGTTGCAACCTCAGGTAAACTTTTTCCTGATTAATAGGACCAGCCTTAACAAATATTTTATTAGAAAGATATTGTCATCATATTCTTTTAGATGATTGTCTTCACAAATAATTTGTAAAATAGTGAACTCTTTAGGCCTACTGTGGTATGTAGTGATGAGGCAGAAGCTGAAGAGATCGAAGAAAATCGATTTGTTCTTCCAATGGCGGAATTATCTTCTATTGACTATCAGGTGCTGAATGGAGATGTGCCTAAGACAGAAAAACCTAGGAAAGTTTCAATACTACCTCTGGTTTTCCTCATCTATTTTGAAGTGTCTGGAGGCCCATTTGGAGCAGAGGATAGTGTCAAAGCTGGTGGCCCCCTATTAGCCCTTCTTGGTTTCCTGGTATTTCCTCTTATATGGAGCATCCCTGAAGCTCTCATAACAGCTGAAATGGGCACTATGTTCCCTGAAAATGGAGGTTATGTTGTTTGGGTTTCATCAGCCTTGGGACCATTTTGGGGTTTTCATCTAGGGTGGATGAAATGGCTAAGTGGGGTGATGGACAATGCTTTGTACCCAGTTTTGTTCTTAGACTATCTAAAATCAGCTTTTCCAATTCTTGAGGAAGGGTTTCCAAGGATTACAGCTGCACTTCTACTGACCATTGCTCTCACGTACATGAATTACAGGGGCCTGCACATTGTAGGATGGACAGCTGTTTCATTGGGTGTTATATCATTGCTTCCTTTTGTTTTTATGGGGTTTTTGTCCATCCCAAAACTGGAGATTTCTAGATTGTTTGTTGTTGATGTAAAAAATGTGAATTGGAGCTTATACCTGAACACTCTGTTTTGGAATCTGAATTACTGGGACTCGATTAGCACACTGGTTGGCGAGGTAGAGAACCCGAAAAGAACGATACCGAAGGCACTGTTTTATGCGCTGATTTTGATCATATCGTCCAACTTTTTGCCGCTTTTGACTAGTATAGGGGCAGTGAAGCTGGATAGAGAGATGTGGACTGATGGGTATTTTGCTGATTTGGCAAAAATGCTTGGTGGTGTTTGGTTATGGTGGTTGATGGAAGGGGCATCTGCTTTGTCGAATATGGGAATGTTTATTGCTGAGATGAGTAGTGATTCTTTCCAGCTTCTTGGAATGTCTGAGAGGGGAATGTTACCGCAGTTCTTCGCGTCAAGGTCTCGTTATGGAACCCCATTAGTCGCCATCTTATTTTCGGCATCAGGGGCTGTTATGTTATCTTGGTTAAGCTTTGAAGAGATCATAGCAGTGGAGAATTACCTCTATTGTTTTGGGATGATTTTGGAGTATATGGCCTTCATTAGCTTGAAAGTAAGAAATCCATTGGCTGTGAGACCTTTTAAAGTCCCTTTTGGAATTGTTGGTGCCATCTTGATTTGCATTCCTCCTATGGTTTTAATCTTGGTTGTTCTGGCTATTGCTTCCCTCAAGACTATGACTATCAGTTTAGCTGCTGTGCTGTTTGGGTTCATATTGCCTCCATTTATTGGGTTCATAAAGAAGAGACATTTCATAACGTTCTCCACCAGCTCCAACATATCTGATTTTCAAGTCCGTGGCCATGGCTATAATGAATCAGTAATTTGAGAAGGAACTTGTGACTTGGTAAGTAAGCAATCCATAGAACAGCTTATAGTTATGGATTGTATTTTATTAATTTGTTTCTAAGAACAATTACCTTATCCTCATGGGTTTCTTAGTCTGAAAATATATTTACAATGTACTTGTTTTGGTCTGATGACCTTCTCATTTTGTTGCTCTTTTTTTCTTGTTTATGAGGTTCTGAAAATGTTTAGGGAAGGTAAGTCTTCAGTAAAGTTCATATGTTTGCATTTTCATTCAATTTGCACTTTAGCTGAAGTTGAAATATGGATTCCATGGATGATTAGGCTGCCATCCTCATCATAGGCCATGCTCAAAACATGATCACATCGACCTAATTTTGTTCTTGCTAGCCTTTGAGGTGTACTTCATGAATTAGTGGCATTTGAAGGTTGTAACTATTCTAGTATTAATAGGTGGGTTATATAAAAACTCCTTGAATCTTTTCCACTCTCTTAGTCACACCTGCAAAACTCTTAGAGAGGAACGTGCAATAGGGGCAAGGGGTTCCTCCCTACTGTTTGAGAACCATCTACAATCTACGATATGCTAAGCTCGGTAAAACCCGGAGAAATTTAATCTTATTAATCAATATTTGGTGATAAGTTCCTTCTAACTTCTAAGCATTTCATACCTTTAAAGTGACAAAAATGCTGCAAAGTTAACCACTTTTTTATTTAATTTTGAAACACTGGTTTGCACATACAATTCATCTAGATCAAAATAAGAAAAAGATGCTCTACTGTCAAAGAAATGTGCTCTCTCGAATCTTTCCCTTAGTACTTTTATACAGCATACTCTTATTACTCTGAACACACAAACATTAAAAGTTTTAATAGAAAATTAAAAACTAACGGTGACAACTATCTTGGATTTTTTTTTTTGTCTGATTTGTGGTATCTGCTTGTTAATTGATTACATTTCGGGTGTCTGTTTAAAAGAGGTCCATCCTCGATGATCCCACATTTGGAGGGAGGCCTTATCTTCTACGGCTAACCTTTACTAAACTTCCAAAGGCCATGTTAAAGCTTAAGCATAACTTTGATGGCAGTTCCTTGATGAAACCTGATCCTACAATTTGTTGGTTGGGCCTAAGAGGAGCTTTGTTGTATCGTTCTAATTTTAACGGATGTCTCTGAAGTGACCGCTCTGTTGTACTCCAGGTCCTAAGAATAGGGACCATAAAAGTCGATATCTCCACTTGGGTCACAATGCTAAGACGAAGTAAGAGCCCAAGAATTTGTTTCAAGCCCATATCTCAACTAGAAGATTGCTGTTACAAATTTGAGGATGTGAGTTTTCGCCTGTCTATCAAAAGGGGAAAAAAAAAGACAGAAAGAAAGAAAGAAAAAAAATCAACTGTTTGTGTAAGTTTGTTGGCTGCATTTCAAGGGGCCATTCATTGTAAAGGGCAACTCATTTTAATGTCATTTGTTTGGCAACCTGAGTCTAAATGATGCTTGGAGATCAGAAGAGATGAAAGCATATGTGACAGGTATTTATACACATGGGAAGCATGATCTCCACAATTCATCAAACTAGATTAAACGTTGTGACCATGGTTAAGCTCCTACAACCTAGGTTGCCTCGACTCTTGTTAATTAAGCTTTCATCAAAATGATGGGTGTTAGAGATCATGCTTCACATTAGAGATCATGCTTCACATGCACTATCCATATGAGTTCTTTTTTAATATGGTCTTAAGAAGAGATTATCTAAAGTGATTCTTGATATTTGTGATTTCTTTGAGTTTTTATTGGCTCATGTGCTAAGGGAGGCTACTGAGGCCATGTTCGGTCGAGGAGGGATTTATAAGGGGTGAGGGTTGCACCTTAAACAATCAAAGTAAAGCACACCTTAAACTTTACTAGAAGATGCACTTTCGGTGCCAAAAACTTTATGACGACGTGAAAATGTATTTTCACCCTCTAATTGTAAATTTAAAATTCCAAAAATGATGCAAATCAAGTAAATCTATAAACAGCTGAAAAATCTTGAAACTAAATGGTGTGCCTCTGACTAGAAATTATTGTATGTAATATTTGCCTCATCTTTGTAAAGTTCGTGGCAAAGAATGACATATCACTAACAGATCAAAAAGTGGCATGTATCACTAACAGAGAATAAAGTGGCAAGAAGTTTGAGCATGCTCTGGAGCCCAATATAAAAACCCTAACTAATGGCAATAACTGATAGAGCGCCATGGTAGTACGAACCGGAAAAACAAAAGAAGTGGGGGACGAAACTCTCAAGGTATAAACAACCCTCAAGGTATAGAAAAAGAGATGTTACTCACAAACTTTTTTTTTTTTGAACGGTAACGTACGATGTTCAAGCAAAGATACACGATTCCATAGATGAAGTAACCAATAGAGAGTGAGTATCGGCTCCTCCTTTGGCAAGAACATAGACATCTTCATTTGTCTCTCTATAACAATATTGGGCGGTTGCTATAGAGGTTGACAAAATATCCCAAATTTGATGAAAAGTAGTCCTTAATCTCCAAAAAATATGGGCATTTCTCTTACTCCAAGCAATGACATTTGTGAGTCTCCTTCGATAATCCTGCTCCTTTTAAAGTGTATAGAGCTTTGACTCACAAACTTCCTCTCCCTATATCTATTGCTCCCTCATTGGTTAAAGTAGAGGGAATGGCGTGCAAAAAGAAAGCAGCCCATCTCGTTAGATTTCAACGCCCGCCCGTGATATCAAATCTCATAACATTTAGGTCCCACTTGAATTATGTAGGATCTAATTTTGAGGAGAAGATTTTGGTCAATCAAACGTGACTCATTGACTAAAAAAATCATCATTATTATAAATCTTATATTATTTTCAAATATTAGGATAATAGGTACTTACCAAACATAACCTTAGTTCATGCAAAAGTAAATTTCGGATTTTGAAAATCTAAAAAGACAATTTGTTCATTTTTTAAAATATTGACGTTGTAATAACATATATAAAATGGGTAGAATAGTAATAATGGTAAGTTTCAAGTGAAATTGTTATAACGCTTAAAAATAATAGATATATGTATAATTTTCACAAATTATTATTCACATTGGTTTTATCATAATATAATTTTTTATTTTACGGTAGTCATTTTTATGAGGATAGTGTTGTGGTGGTCTTTTTTATCAAGATTATTATGTTATTATCAATAGTTTGATGATATATAGGAAATTTATCGAAGTACATATAAGAGCAGGACTATCTAACATTTTATCTATTCTCAGCTATTCCAATTTAAGATTGTGTATTTTTTCATGGGTATTTTAAAAGTAAATTAAAAACAAAAATAGGTAAGATGTCAATTGTTCATCTCTAATGGGTAGTTTGATAGTTTTTCAGTGATATATTAAATTAATATATTATTTGTAATAAAATATTTTCTTTTATTGTTTTATAAATGTAAAACCAAAGTATATAAAGTCAAAATTATAAATATATTTTATATTTTATAAATAGAAACTTCTACAATAATTTCTAATAGTATTAAACATGGTATGAAAAAACGTCGACCCAAATCAGAATCGCTTGATGCGGATTGATAATTGATGGGACCAATCTCGTTCCTGCCACTTATCTGGCTATCTGGAGCCGCCCAGTTCTTGAAAGAACCCGCTGGTTCTTGATAGAACCGAACCGGGTGACTTAGCCCAGTTGACACTTTATTTTTATTTTTTTCTTTTAAATTCTTCATTTGAAATTTTTTGAGATTTTTTTTTTTTGACAAACGTTCCTTACTTTATTAAAAAAATCTACTCAAATAAAATTACATCAGAAGAAATAGCAAGAGCAGACAAAGAAGCCCCTCATTTAGCAAGAAAGTCGGCCAAGGAAATCGACTCAGGATAGACATGACAAAACGAGACTGAAATTGGAGCCATCAGGTCATGCACCACTCCCCTAACCCCAGCCGAACCTGGATTACCCTGAGAGCTCCCATCAAAATTTAACTTAAAACCTCCATACTCTGATGCCACCCAAATACTCATTGGTCTAATCTTAACTCTACCCGTCAAAAACAAGTTTGGCAAATTCAACACAATATCAGATTGTGAAATCCCCAAACCTCCTTAGTAACCGAGAATCAAGACCAAGTACACAGTTTGACATTACTAAGCTATCTGTCAAATGAGATACTTTTACCTTCAAACATCTGCCTATTTTTTTCTTTCCAAAGTTCCCAAAGAGTAGTTCCTCTGCTATTTGCCAAACCAAAACCCCTACAGAAGGTAAATGATTAAAGGCTAAATGAGACACTAAGCCCTACACAGATCGGAGAAGTGAAGCGTGAACCCCAAGAAGCAATGTGGCAGTAGATAAAAAGATGATCGTCAGATTCCTCATTCTAGAAACAACCAATACCAGATTCTAGAAGAAACAACCAATACCAAATTCTAGAAGCAACGTGGCAGTAGATAAAAAGATGATCATCAGATTCCTCATCTGCTTTACACATCAAAATGTTAAAGAAGATTTTACCCATCTTAATCAAATTGTCCACCGTTAGAATTTTATTTTCAATAGCTAACCACACAAAAAAAACCTCCACCTTATGGGGAATAAGCCATTTCCACACTTTAGCAGCAGCAGGTAAATACCATATCCAACGAACATGAAAAAAAAAAAAGAACCTATGACAAGACTTGACCAAGAAAACCTCATCGCATTCAACTTCCCAAATCATTTCATCCAATGCCCCTTATGAAATATAAGTCAAATTCAAAATACCCATCAAATCCTTCCATTGAAGATAAACATCTCCACTCAACCTATCATGCTGAAAATTACTATTCCAAGCAACATGATTACCTGCCATTCAACCATATCAGAAATCTTAGCATTAGAGTGCGAGACCTTAACAAAAGTTCGAGATAAGTAAACTTAAAGGGGGCATCACCTATCCACTTATGATACTAGAACAAGATGTTATCACCACATCCCACATTCCAACGAATATAACCTGCAATCATCGGCCTGCACCTGTAAATGGACTTCTATAGAGAAGACAACTCTATATTTCTACCCCCTCCTATCCACATACCCTGCTTATCCATACCATATTTCGAAGACAAAACCTTATACGAGAGTTGATCTGTAAAATGCAAGTTTTTCCACCACCGTTTACAAAGCAAAGCTTCATTTATATATTTAATCTTTCTGATGCCAAGACCACTTTCACTCTTAGGGGCACAAACACGATCCCACCTTAGTAGATGATACTTCATTTCTTCCCCAAAAGACCCCCAATGAAAATTATGCATCATTCTTTCAATGTTCTTAATCACTGAGGCTAGCATATAAATAAGAGACATCAAATAGATTGGTAAATTAACTAAACAATAACTTAATAGAGTAACCTTCCCACTAGTAGACAAGTATTTTGGCTTCCACAGATCCAACTTCACTTGGACTCTCTCTAGCACCTTATCCCATACTGCAATAGAATGCATGGAATCAGAGTGTGGCATACCCAGATAAGTAAAAAGGAAAGAGCCCACCGAGCAACCCAAACAATTTGCTAAAGATAGAATCAGTGCCAAAGGGCAGTTAACTCCTATCAAAGAGGTCGTGTGGAAGTTGACCTTCAAGCCCAAAGCCACCTCACAGCAGTCTAAAAATGTGCAATGCTTGCCACTTGCATCTCATCTGCTTCACCAAAAATAAGTGTATCATCTGCATATTGTAAATGAGTCATACTTGGACCCATCTCAGCCACCTTAAAACCACAGAAATGCCTAGAACCTTCCACATTACTAATCATTAGACTAAAGCATTCTGCATAGATGGAAAAAAAGAATGGTTACATTGGGTCCACTTGACGAAAACCTCTGGAAGCCTTAAAAAAACCAGTAGAACTTCTCTTAACAAGCACTGAGAAATGGAGCAGACGATAAACATCCAACAATCCAACTTCTCCATTTAACCCCAAAACCCATTTCCTTGGGCAGCGGTGCAACTTCTTCCATCTCAAAGCTTAAGTAGCCCATGAGCCTCTTTTTATAAGTAAACTAGTTTTTATTGTGCTCAATATTTTTTTCTTCTATGGATAAATTATGTGTACAATAGAAACTAATTTATTTGTATTTTATTATTATTATTATTATTCTTACTTTTTTTTTCTTTATTTTCCCATACAGATTATGTGTTCAATATTTTTTTTATTATTCTTTTTATTCATTTTTTTCTTCTTTGGTGTGCTAATATTTATGTATTTTGTTTATAAAATAATGAAAAACTATAATACAAAACCGTTGTTTCTTTTGAAACCTTAAAATTGGATTTAAAAAAAATCTTAATAATTTTTTGAAGTTTTTTAAGGCTGAACCAGTGAACCACCGTTCCAGACCGATTTTTCATACGGGCGATCTTGATCACTAATCTGTATTTAAAGCATTGATATAAAAAAGAAAATCATAATATCAAGAAGTTACCGTCCAGTTTAATAGATTTGATTAACATATCCATTATATAGTTTTTGACATTGCATCCTTTTTACCTTAATGAGATTTTAGAGCAACCCTTTGTTGGTATGCGATATGTTACTTTCATATTGAAATTCCTAAGGCTTGCTTTCTTTTAAGTACCAAATTTGAATTCAGAATGTTATTTTTAAACCCTTAAAGTACTGAAATACAATGAATTTATATGACATGTTAAAGGCCAAGGATAAAAGTCAAACTTTGCAAGAAAAATAAATAAAACATCAATATGAACTTGAGAAAGAACCTAATACTCTCAATGAGTTGGATTTGCCCAATTGACAGCCTCTTCCCAAACCTGAAGGAGCAAAGATTAGGGGTGGCAATGGACCTGGACCTGATCGGAGACCCAACGGGTAAACCGGAGTGGGTCCAAGGCAGGGTCCATGTAGACCCAACCTAGATCAGTGCCGAATCAAATTTTATTAATTTATTTGAAATATATATATTTGTAGTTATAATATTTAAATAATGATATTTTGATTTTTGGATCGGGTCCGGATCCTTTATAAACAATTCAGTTTCGGGTCTAGGAACTCTGGATCTAGTTGGGTCCGAGTTTGGATCTAGGTTCCACAACATATTTTCATGTCCGAGTCCGAGTCCGGGTCCGGATCCGGGTCCGACCAAACCAGGACCCGACAAGACCAGTTGCCACCCCTAGCAACGATAGGCCATTGGACTACCACTTCCCTATAGAGAGAGGGGGAGAGAGAGACTTGTATTGTATCCGCATGGAAAAGAGAAAAGGAAAAGAGGGGGTGTTCCATGCTTCTTTTTTTTTTTTCTTTTTTTTTTCTTTTTCTTTTCTTTTCTTTTCTTTTTTTTTTTTTTTTTCCAAAAGCCGTGCATGAGCCTTTCGTCTGACGCAGCGCTTTCAAGTGAAAGAAGACTCGAAATAAAAACCACAATAACGGGTGTCAACACACCAACCCAATAATGGGTGTAGGAATATAGAACACTCGTATCCATAAAACGGTTGCGAACCATTCCCTGTAGAAAGATGCCATGCCCATTCCAAGTTCTTTAGTCCAATGCTGAATTGGCTTATATAAAATTTGAGAATCTTATTTCTTACTAATATTCTTGTTCAAAATTCCATGGCATTCATCGTTGCTTTGCACGCTAACATAACAGCTCCACTACCATCACCGCCACGATTACGATGGCTCTACCAATCTATCATTTACCACAATCATCATAGCTTTAGTACTACCACCACCATTACACCATCACTACCACCACACTTAAGTTGCAATTCAAATTGAAACAGTCAAACCCCTCTACTTCTTACATTTACTCTCTTGGGCAAAATATATATTTAAAAAAAGCAAAATATATATTTAAAAAAACTTCTTAATATGGACATTTGGAATCTTATGAATATTTTTAAAGGAAATGTTTCTATGCTTCCTCTAAAGCATAGAAGTTCTATCCTCCCGCTACCATCTAGCCGTCCAATTTTGATCAAGAGAGCCACACACCGTTTGATCTTAGATCCGACGTCTTAAAGTATTTTATTTTTAGCTTTTTTTTATACAAATTGTATGAATATAAAATTTGGTACGTGCCATCTTCTCATTGAGGTACACCTATAAAAAATATCTCAAATAATTTTTCAATAAAATATAATGACCAAAATACCCTTTGAAACTTTCAGGGATATTTTGATCATTTTATTTTATTGAAAATATTTTTTTTATATTTTCGCTAGTGCGAGTTTAATATGGGAATGGACATCCAAAATTTGGTGTCAAAATAGTTCATAGAAAAAAATTTAAAATAAAATAGTGTAGAGACGCGACATTGTGGTTGAGGCAATCTTAACCCTTCATTTCAGAATGGACACTTGGATAAAAGGGAGGATAGAACTTCTATGTTCTAGGGGAAGCATAAAAAGCTTGCCCTATTTTCAATATACAAAACAGCGATTTTCATAAGAAAAACACCGAGATCTCATGTCCAAAATCAAACAGTCTTAATGCGTAACAAGGGTGCTTGTTCCATTTTTCTTTTTCTTTTTTTATGTACTTTATATTGGTAGGTAGGTTGAATAAGTCACAACCCCAAAATTATTGTCCTAAAAGTACTCCTAGCTAGGGCATTTGAAAATACCCCTAAAATCACTGGAGTTAGAAATATCAGAAATTTTTTTTTTTGACTCGAATGGAATTATCTGTGCTCTCACTTAGAAGAAAAAGGTATAGCAAGCAATAACACAACATTATCTTGGATTCATGCCAACAAATTAGTGCATAAACATGGATCCAAGCGCCTATCTATCTAATATGTGCTTTCTTAAGAGATTAAATCTTAAGAGATTAAACTTCAGCTATTTTACCAACATATACTAATTAAATTCTCAGAAACCCAATATAGGACCAGCATGCACCATGCAGTATTGCTAAAACTTCAAACAAATCAATGTAGCCTATCAAAGTAATGCACAATTGTACCTGGTAAGTGACAATATTTAAGTACTAAAAACACATTACACCACCACAACCATAACTTCAATAAATATTTGCTATTTGCTACGTCTGATAGCAGTGCCACGATAGATAGCAGTGCCTCGATAGATGAGGTGCCCAACTCGTACAAATATCCACCACGCGAGGGACAACCAAGACCACATGTGTAAACACCAAACAATCCTACAATTATTACAAGTAGTAAGTGTCATTTCTTTACAGCTTCAAACCTTCATGAGTATCAATTTTTGTATGATAGTGTGCATGGTGAAGCCTATGATGAAGATGGCAATCACACAATCCATGTATTCCAACTTCATTTTGTTACATATATAATGCAGTACCTGAAAGCCACCCACAAGGACATTCACACTGAATTTCCTAAAACCCTTCCCTAACACATTTCCTCTTAACAAAACACAACCAATCTCCAATAACAACGACTCAGGACAGAAAGTAAACTAAGTTAACATAATGGTCCAACCAAAACAAGATATTTATAAAATTGGAGTCTCCATTATTCTTAAACATGGCTGGTTGGATGAGAAACTAGCTAGGCATGAAAATCCTTATTAGAAACAAAGCAGCAAAACACATAGACATGCTCATGTCATCCCACTTCAAACAACTCTAGTCCTTGTTACCCATGCCCAGAAGAAGACCCAAACTCAAATTACTGGTTCACTAGAATCATGCCTACTTTCTTGAAGATCTGGGAGGTCAGAGCAGATAGAGAATCTCACGAGTTGCTTCTTTTTTATGTAGCCAATAAGCAGATACAAGATGAAGCCAAACATCACAGCCGCCAAGCTTATAGCCATGACCTTGAGAGAAGCAACTGCTAAAACCACACATATTAAAGCCGTAGGAGGAATGCACATCAAAATGGAACCAACAGTTCCAAAAGGCACCTTATAAGGTCGTGAAGCGGTTGGGTTTTGTATTCTCAGCCGAATGAAAGCCACAAACTCCAAAATCATACCAAAACAATATAGGTAATTCTCAGCTGCAACAATCTCTTGAAAGCTCAACCAAGATAATAAAACCACCCCAGATGCTGAAAACAAAATCCCGATCGATGGGGTTCCATTACGTGACCTCTTTGCAAAGAATTCAGGCAACATTCCCCTCTCAGCCATCCCTAACAGCTGAAAAGAATCACTGCTCATCTCTGCAACAAACATTCCCATGTTTGATAAGGCAGCGGCCGCTTCCATCCACCACCTTAACCAGACACCACCAAGAATCTTTGCCAAATCGGCAAAATATCCATCACTCCACACCTCTCTATCAAGCTTCACAGCTCCAATTCCAGTCAAAAGAGGCACAAAATACCCCGAAACAACCAAAATCAAGGCATAAAAAAGCGCTTTGGGCAAGGTTCTCCTTGGGTTCTCAACCTCACCCGCAAGAGTGCTAATGGAGTCCCAATAATTCAAGTTCCAAAACAGAGTATTCAGGTACAAATTCCAATCCACATTCCTCATATCAACCACAAACCATCTCGACATGTCCAGTCTTGGTAAGGCCAATAAACTCATAACAACAAAAGGAAGCAATGAAAACACACCTAATGAAACAGCAGTCCATCCTACAATGTGCAAACCCCTGTAATTCATATATGTGAGTGCAACCGTCAAAAGAAAAGCAGTAACAGCTCTAGGATAACCTTCACCAAGAACTGGAACTGCTGATTTTAAGTAGTCCAAGAACAAAACTGGGTACAAAGCATTGTCAATGACCCCACTTAGCCATTTCATCCACCCTTGTTGAAAACCCCAAAATGGGCCCAAGGCCGATGAAACCCAAACAACATAACCCCCATTTTCAGGGAACATGGTGCCCATTTCAGCAGTGATCAAAGCTTCTGGAATGCTCCATATAACAGGAAAAACCAGGAAGCCAAGAAGGGCTAAAAGAGGGCCTCCGGCTTGTACACTATCTTCTACCCCAAATGGCCCACCAGACACCTCATAATATATGAGGAAAATTAGAGGCAGAACCGAAACTTTCTTGTACTTGTCTAGCCTAGGCGCATCTCCAATGAATTCCTGATAATATGAAGTAGTGGCTTCCCCCATTGGAAGAAAATTCTGGTTTTTAGAACTCTTCAGTCTCTGTTGTAACACAAATATATACCCAAGTAGGTATAAAGAGTTCAATTCACAATCATACTACTTTTATTTATGAATTTTCTTGTTATCATCATGCACATTAAACTTTTAATCATAAAATTGAGAAAGGACAACGAAGAAGAAAACAATAAATGGTAAACAATTTTAAGGGGAAAACGGCCTATTTACACTGTTCCCACTGTTAACATAACTTAGAAACATGAACAAAAACAAAAATACAAATCCAAGTAGGAATCACAGTTGGTTTGGTAACAGTTTATCATCTATTTTCCCTAATATAACCAGGGAAAAGTAAAGGGGCAAGAAATTTACATACCCAAAACAGAACAGAAAGAACAAGTAGAATACTACTATACACCTCGCGAAATGGCAGAAAAATAAAGAAATGCAAGGGAAAATAAATGGAATCAAGTTTTAGCACTCGGGGAGAGAAAATAATTTAATAAGTAAAGGAAAATTTCCTCAAAAAGAAAAAAAACAAAGGATATATGTAAATTAACCTATCAAAACTCCTATTTTTGACAATGCAGAAGCTTACCATAACCAGGACAAAAAACAAAAAAATAAATTTATACACAGCTTGAATTTCCATAGAAAGAGGTAAAAAATCAGTTACAAAGATCCAAAGCCCCATGGCTACATGCACAATCATCAAAGGCACGGATCCAATTATTCAACACCTGGTACACGTTACTATTTATGGAAAAAAATTAATATAAAGAAACAATAATAAAAAAACCCAATAAAATAAAAAGTTCCAAGTAAATTTGTGACAGAGAAGCCATTAATACCTGATAAAGCAACTTGTTCATCTGAAAGAGAGACCATTAACATGTGGCATTGGGATTCTCAAACAACCCATGGCATTTTCATCACAAACATCCAGGCTTCTGAGCTTGAAATTCATGCACCCCACAAAAAGAGAGAGAGAGAGAGAGAGATTATCTTTCTAGAGAATAGATTAGGGCATTTACTGCTGCTTCTCGTAAATAAGGGACACCCGAATGAGTAGAAGCCACACATATTGGGTCTTGGGGCTGAGTCCCATGGCACTGATGCAGAGGAAGAGAGAGAGAGAGAGAGAGAGAGTTAGGGCACTTCTGGTTTAGAGAGAGAAAGTTTGGGCACTTGTTGCAATCTACCCAGATGAGGTGACAGACACTCAACTGAAGGGTTTGGGGTTAAGTGCCTTTCTTGGGTGGATTGTTTGTTCAGAGTGATTAATTAGAGAGAGAACTTTGAAATTCAGATTTTTCAACTACAAACATGAGAGATTATTGCATATATAAACAACCCTGGATACTGAAATTAGTGGGGAATATATGCCCCTCCACTTGGATTGGATGGCGACGTAGGCCGTAGGCGCACCACTATATTGCGCTGCTTTTTCTTTTTCCTGCTTTTTGTATAAGTGGATTTGGACCTTCATATTTGAGGGAAAATGATTTCTCTCAGTTTGATTTATCAAAAACTATATCTAGAAAATAATTGTTAAATATCCCACGCAAAGCAAAGTGCATGGCCTACTCACGTGTGACGTTAAATATGCCTAATTATATATATATATATATAAATAAAGAAGCACTACGACTTTTTCAGGAAATACCGTCCTGGCGGGTTCAAACAGTATTTATTTTCGTCTTATCAAGTTTTAAACATTTTTCTATTAAAAAAATATGCAAATAGATCATTTACCAAGGTTGCAATCACTATTATCCATTGCAACTCAACTCTTGTGGTTGTGAATGTATTGTAGATTAGACTCAAAAGTTTAAAAAGAAGTTCTTGAACTTTGTTGAGCCATCCAATTTGATATTTAATAGCTTGGAGCAATTGTCACATGGTGATAATAAAAATAAATAGTCTCATAGTATACAATTTAAAATTTGTTTTCTCATCTTTTCAAAAATTCCAAATTTTTACAATTTTTTTTTTTAAAATCTAGATCTATAACTATTTTGTCTTTTTTTTTTTTTTTGATCTAAATGCCCTATGATTTATCACATACTTATCAAGTCCATGATGATCTAAAGCTGATAGCCCTCTTAGAGGTGTAATGTACCCTTGGTACATCACGGCTTTGCTAGGGCTGTGATGCTTGATGATGAGAGCCTCATGACTCTCGAGTCTTGATGCTCTTTGGTGGTTTGCACCCTATTGTCCAAGTGAGCATCACTACTCTTTTAGGACCGTGATGTTCTCTTGTGCATTGAAAGACCATCAGGTTCTATTAAGACTTTGTGGGTTTATGAATGAGTCCTTCAACAATAATGGTCTTATTATGACCATGATGGTCTTTTTAGGGGTCTGGGCATCAATAAAGATTGGGGTGAGAGGTCCTCGGATCCTATTAGATCTGTGACGAGCATATCATGCAAAGTAAAAAAAAACGCAAACTATAATGTTATGGATATGGATGTCGTTCTAAAAAATTTTGGATATTTTTATTTAAGGGTGCGGTTTGTATAGAGCCAAAGCTCTAAACAATCAAAGTAGAGCGCACCTTCAAATAGTGTAAAGAAATGTGATTTTAATACTAGAAGTCTTTGTGATAGCCTTAAAATATATTTTTATATCTAATTATAAAAATTTAAAGCTTAAAAAATAGTGTAGATCTATGAAAATCTTGAAAATTGACTGTCCAAAAATGCATTACAAGATGCACTATTTTCATAACTTGAAATCCATTTTTTCTCTCATGTTGATGCATATTGAAATCGAGATGATCAATTTGAAAATATTTGGGCATCAAAACAACCTCTTCTAGCGAAAATTTTTGGGTGCATCCTAATTTGATTGTTTAGAGCCCGACACTTATATAAACTTCCATAAAGTTTTTATTATAAAATCTAAGCTCATGAAAAGTTTTCAAACAAGAAAGAGGGATAGAAAAAGAACTTGGGGAAGTAGCAATTCGGACAACCGACCCACTTCTTGGATGGGGGATATTAAATGAGTCTTGTTATTGACAAAGTGGAATTAATTTTAATTAAGTACTTA